CTCTCTCTCTCTAAATGTGACATAGGTAAAGTTACATCTGTCAGAACAATCTTGTCCAATTGAACATGGCGAGATTAATAGCAAACTTGGAATTATTCTCATTATATACATAATAGACGTGTATCTTCCACGAGCGGATACACATACAAGAATACAAGAATAAACAAATGTCACGAGCGTACGCGTATAGTATTATATACATATTATAAATAGTACCTGTTATGCGTTCGTTCGATATATATACGTACAAGATATTCTGATGAACGAGATCAAGAGTGACACGTCGCGTTGCACGCACGCAGTTACTCGCTTCAAGGATAGACTTTGGAGCGAGTAAAACTCAACCCAAATTCACGCATGTGAGAAATGGTCGCGTCGGGATGATGGATGTGATACATCGACTAAAGAAATATGATACATGTTTTTATGTGAATTTTATTTATAAAAAAGAAATGTACAAGTATGAAGGAAGGGAAACTAAACATGATCGATCTCAAGATCCCGTGGACAAAATCCTCGCGTCAGATAAGTTTTTCGTAGCTATCGTGTTTTTCTTTTATAGTATCGATGATGAATCTGTGCATTGTGGTTAATTATGGCTAATAAGATCAGTTTAGGAGTGGAATAAAAAAGGGAAAATGAATAAAATGAATGTGAATGAATGCAGGGGAGCGAGGAAAAAGGAAGAGACGTGTGTGTATGTGTGTGTGCGCGTGTGTGCGCGCGTACGTGTGTGTAATATTAACAATAGTAATGATCCTGTTACAGGACTGTCACGAGCGGGTGATGGAAAATGCTCCAACTGCACAAGGTTTCTTCCTTTTCGTATTATTTCGAAAATTAGAATCGCCTATCATCAATGACATCAATCGTTATACGATGCGCGTGTGCTTATTTACACCACATGATTAATATCTTCTCCCTGTTTATATACGGACATTGTGTAGCATCGTTAAAATTAAAATAATCCAGAGAAGCTTTGCCACCATAATAACTGCGATATAAATATTCCCGTTCATCGCGAGACAAGATAATGTGTATATTAGTAATTCGTTAACACTTTGACACACTTGCTCTTGAAACAAAATCTTTCTTTCTTTCTTTCTCTCTCTCTCTCTCTCTCTCTCTCTCTCTCTGTATTTCACAATTCATACATATATAAATGTATATTTATAAAAGTAGGTATGAGACGTAATAGATGTCGTTTACAAATTTGTGCAACTTACAGAAGTGTACCAAGCTATAAATATCTACTATACTTTAGGGAATTAAGTCTAGATGATGGCTACTTTATTATTAGTGTATCAATATCTTCGTTAATAGCATACTTACATAATGAAATGAGTGTGCACGTGAGTGTATATGTATATGTGTGACACAATTATCATATCGATTTTTCTCACAGCGTAAAGTGATCAAAAAAAATGTCACGTCTTTTCTCGATTAATCAGACACTTGACGATTGTAAATGCAAATGATGAACAAACTACAAGATGCAAATGTTACGATTGACGAATAGGAAAGACGAATTATAGCGAAAGTGCCTGTCTTTCTTTCTTTCTTTCTACTTTTCAATTGTTAAGAATATCGTGAAAACCACGTAAAATTCTCTCTAATTTTATGATCGATCGATTGGTTTAATCACTACTATTTTGTTTTATACGGTAACACATTTAGCTACAACATATGAGCTATTACTTACTACTTTTGATAAACTCTGTGAAAAGCAACGCCCCTCCGGATTTTCCGAGAAGATGTAATTATTTCCGCCTTTTGTAATTATTTTCACACAGGCTTCGTAGTCAATCAAAAATAATAATATAATTATTATTATTATAACTCATATCTCTCTCTCTCTCTCTCACACACACACAGACACACACACACACACACACACACAAGGTCTTAATGTCTCGATAGATAGATGTCGGGTTGGGCGGTAGCAGTCCTAAGCATCGCATTCGAAAAGATAAATCTAAGGACTTCACTTCT